ATAAGGCTACTTATATAGGTTGTTAGTGGAATTGGTTTGTAAATTAAGCATTTAGTTTGATAATTATTTAGGTTGAAAGTGTGATATAAACTATAAATGAATTCATAAAATGGGAAAAATATGACTGAAAATAAACCCATTTTTTTCTTAGTTAAACTGTTGTAATAATGTGAGTGCTTAAATGGTGAAAATATGACTGTAAAAGAATTAACTCCAATTAAAATAAAAGTTTTATTTGAAAAGTTTTAGTTTGTGTATGAGATGAACATCACATACACAAACTAATTACTATCCCCTGGCATTTCTTTTTTGCATTTTTTTTTGTCTCTTTTTTCCATTCATTCCAAAACCGTGATCTTCTTTTATCATCACTGTTTCTTGGAAAGTCACTACCATTTTAAGTGAGGTAAAGCCTGCATTATTCCCCCGCCCTCCCCTCTCCCTCGCACCGGGCAGTGCCACCTTCTGCAGCCGGAACGGGGCGCGCCTTGGTGGGCGGCCTCTGCGGTGCGGCCGCCTCTGCTGCTGCTGCTCCTGCTCCTGCTGCTGATGCCGCTGTGACTCCATCGCCAGTAGAATCAGGTGGAAGCGCCGTCAAGACACCTGCGCCGTAACCAGCGTTAGACAATAAAAGTCTGGGCGCCAGTTTTGAATAGCCTGAGTTTTACTTTGAAAGGACGGGGAACTCTGAAGCCACGTTTCCTGCCTGGTATCTGGCTTGACAGCAGAGGATGCAGGTGGAGCGACTCGGGCAGGACCGTTCACATCTGTCTTGAAGGAGAAAGGGAGGGAAAGAAAATCTGCTCTGCTCTACGCTCTGGATAAAAAAGAAAGAAAGAAGGAAAGCAAACCCCGTGTTAACTATTCCGAAGGATATTAATAAATCTTGGCTTGTCTGGAGAATAACGGAATTATCCGAAGATACAAGTAAGGACTTTCCCCCCCTTCTTTTTACTGTGGTGACTGTTTTATTTTCTCTGGCTATGAGGATTAGAAAACAGGGCTCTACACATGACACATGATTTTAATTTTTTTTTTTTTTTTTTTTTTTAAATGAATGCGTGCTGTTTTCTAGAATGAAAAAGCAGAACCCAGATGACGCGTAATGGGTCAGTTTTTTTGGAGGAAACCTGCGCTGTGCTGTTTGTTTTTGGCTGCTTTCTAAGTAGACACGCTGAGTTCAGTGTTTGTGTGCGTGAGCGCGTCAATGTGTGTATGTGTGGAGGGAACTGATGGACATGAGTGTTTGGAAACCACGCGTGGTAAGAGTGTGGGGGGAACATTTAGGGAAAAAAAGAATAAGAGCATCCTACTGCGACTGGTGACAGAGAGCAGCTGTGGATGTGTTTACGCAATGTCCAGACGACTTGTGCGGGATTATTCACACAGGTCCCCGACACTCAGTCCGAGGAATCGTTTTCATTTCAGAGCTCTGTGGGTTTAACTGCTGCAGGGATGGATACCGATGATTCTGCTAATCCGTTTAGCTCTCCTTAAAAAAAAAAAAAAAAAAAAAAAAACCCGCATATGATGTACTACTTTAATCTGGAGTGTTTAAGCAAAACTCCTTTTTTTGCGCGCAAATTACTGTCATTTGCACTTTTCGCTTCACAAGTCATGAATTGAATCCTACTCGTAATAATCGTTAAGTCATGTTTCAAACACAGCGCCCTGAATTGTGCGATATGCCAAATTAGGCCACCGGAGGGTAAGATGGTCTCTTTACCAGCTGCGGTCGGTTCCTTTTCCGGAGAAAAAGCACGGCAGTGACCGGGACTCGTCACTGCGTCGGGTTTGTTTGTAAAGTGTCTGGTAAATTCAACCAGCTTCGATGAGTTAGACATGCTCCATACGCAGGACTTTGCCGCGCCGAGGCACGCGACGGCTGCGCCACGGTGTCGCCAAAACGCCCACTGTGATGCGTAACGGTGTCTTCACGCACAATTTCCAGAGCAGGCGCGTGATTACCAACAATGATCGAAGAAAACCTTCTTAGGAAATGAGTTGGGTTTGGATCAGTTGTGCTAAAGAGAAGCGATTGAAGTGAGAAGAGACGGATGGATGGATGGATGGATGGATGGTTGGATGGATGGACGCCACATGATGAAAAGCCGTCTGTTTGCACCGTTTTCAAGCAACACATGATCAGCATGGCAACTTAATCAGAAGCCACACTTTTTTTGTGCAATTTATATGCTGAATTTCTGACCTTGCCCAAATTGTGCTGAGTGGAGATCTGATAACAGCAGAGGAGGTGCTCAGTGTCTGGCTATATCCTGAAATGCATCACAGGAAGGACTTTAAGGAAGCAGTAGCTGCGTTTCCATTACAAATGTGCGCAAAACTTTGTCAGTATTCCGCTAATGTCGAAAAAACACAATTTTGCTATTGTGTTTATGTTTCTTATTTAATACATCAAATAAGAAATATTATTAAAATGACAGGTGAATAGGTTTGTTCACATACCACGTCGTGATCCAGTTACTTCCTGTCCTCTTATGCTTCGTGGTTTGTGCCAGTGACAACATCCGGTTGTTGATCATGTGACTTGAGTGATGCAAAACTGTTTCCAATGCAGTTTTACAACATAAACCAATTTTAATGCAGCCAAAACAACCACCTCTTCCTATCGTCAAATCATTTTATTGAAAAACAAGAGTTTCCATTAAGATCATTTATTTACAAAATGTCAAATTGCATAATTACGCGGTCAATGGAAATGCAGCTGGTGACAATGGAGTTGATGCCAACTTCCTTTCTCGTCATGTATGAAATCCTATTCTAAGTAACAAAAAAAAGCTTCAGTATCAAACCAGCAGTTTATGACCGAACGTCTCCCTTGAAGTAGCATCACTTGAAGTTCTCTCAGATTGTTAAATGTTCCTAAATTTAACTCCCATGTTGATCTTTTGGGGAACACCTGCTCAGGTTCTGATGCAGACACCTTCAGCAGGAGCTGAGCCTGCATGCTATATACTACAGTTCCAGTTTTCCTCTCAGAGGAGCTTTCAGTGCACTTCACAAAAGGTGTTTAACATCGCTTTTGTGGGTTGAGATGAATTATAATAATTGCAAATTTCTCTGCAATTTGAATAAATTGTTATGCAGCGAGAGCAAAGAGTGGATTTGAGGTCCTGTGCTGCTCTTTGTTTTGCCTCAACTTTCTGACATCGGCTTTTCAACGACCTACCTGAATATGAATTTGGTTTTTGTTGGGTTTTTTTTTTATTTTCACCTAAAATGTCATCGTTTGGTATTGAAACACATTGAAGTTGGCATTTTGTATGCAGCTGGGGAGGAAAGAAAAAATCACCTTTTCAACTGTGTGATTTATTCACATCTATCTGGTTCATGTTGTGTGTTACACGCTCTAATGGGCCTGGCCTTCATGTGATGAAAGTGAGACGTTCTGTCTCACATGGTACAACCATAAATCTTGGTTTGTTTTGTTGGAACCTTATGTGGCAGATGGATAGTTTTCAACATTTTTCCACTAATATGTGTCAGGTATTTATATTTAGCCTGCCCCGAGTCAAAACGTTTTGTTGTTCTTAAACCAGCAAGTCTTTTGGGGTGTATCTCTACCTGTTTTGCACATCTAAAGAATGAATATTTTTCTCATTTTAACTCCTAAATACACTTTGATCATTCTCTGGCATATGCCAGAGCTATAGGGCGTATTTGTGTCTCCTACATGACTTTTGGGAAACTACACGTGATTTCTATTGGCCTTCTTTATTTCACTCTTCCGTAAATGACAGATTAGTGGAAATTATGACTAATATTTGTCCTGTTATCAGATTTTCCTTGCCCTAGCCTGATAGGTTCACAGTTGTGTCACTGTCTTTCCCTCAGATGAATAGCTGAAGAGTTCCCTGCATTCAATGCTGGGATTATTCTTCTCTAGCCTACCCCGGCTTTATTTGTGTCCTGTCTCACCATGTCAGGCATACTTTATGGAGAAGTCGGCTGCCTTCATATGCCAGAGCGTATTTGTGAAGGCAGCAAAGATCAAGCTTGCAGAATTGATCTTTTGTTTGTTGTATTGTAATCGTGCGGCTTCTTTATTAAATCATAACTGCATCTTGGATCAAAGTAGACAGGCCACGTCTTCTTCTTTTATTCTTTTATTGACAGGCCACGTCAATAAAAGAATAACTTATATTTGTACATACTTGTACACATACTTGCCGTGTGTGTGGGAATTTGTCACCTGGAGGTGCAGTGATGTTAGAATGGTATGAAGAGTGGAAATCTCGCAACACTCAGCACCTAGGAGCAGCAGGCCTCAGAAATCCACTCCAGTCCCAGTCAGACAGACACCAGACACCCCACAGGATAATCCTTACGGCTGACACAGAAATAGGACCACAGGAAGGCAAAGGTACCAGCCAAGCCCCCCTGACTCAGCATCCAAGGTGCATTGGCCAGTACAGGGTAGGCGTGTTTTGGCATGTTTGATGATTGGGAGCCTATACATCCCAAGAAGGGACAATCCCTGGAACATTCAACTCTCTGGGCAGGTATTGACCTGCCAGAGTTTAGGAGGGGGGGAGGCACCTGATGACTTAGTCCTAAAGAGGTCAAGTGGAAATGATCACCAAAGCCTCACCCACAGCAATTTAATGCCACCAACAGAGCCTTACCACAACACCACCAGAGTTTACAAGACCAACCCCAAACTTCTTTTTGTCCTAACTTCTTGGTTGGATCAGTGCAGAAGCATAGGTAAAACAGAAGAGAAGACTATGTCTAGTCTCCCTAAGCCAATCATCCCTGGGGTGTGTATACTTCAGTGCTGAGCTGAGACCACACTGCATGATTTGTTTGTCCCAGTAAGCTCAGTTCATTTTTGTTAGTCTGTGATCCAGTAGAAGGTCACAGTTTTTGAGTGTGTACCATCCAGTCTTTCAGCTGTGGAACTTCAGACATTCCAGGTCTTTTTTCATTAAATTTGTTTTCAATTTTCTTTTTTTATTAAAATTGAGCTCCACCTCTATGTAGATGGTGTTGTCCTGACGAGCCCAGAGTTAGAAAAGTAACACCTCGTGATCCGTATGTGACACAAACACAATTCAATGGAACAAGCACAAACATGTATGGACCTCATCTTTGGACCATTGGTAATGTCAATTTTCAGCTCCAAATGGGCTCAGTCATTTTTGTGAGTTTTTACAAACAGTAGATCTAAATATTGTAAAGGAGTCACTCTTGTGATGGAACCAGTTAATCCACCTCATAGTGAGTAACCACCAGTCTTCAGACATGATGTCTTTCTCCTGGCTTAGGAGCAAAGTAGGTACTGAAAAGAGGCTGGAACCATGTAACCTTTACTAGTGGGAAATCCAACAACCAAACAGAGCCCAGTTTAGCCATGCTGAGTAGATGCCGGTGAAAAGTTTCCCGAACTGATCCTGCTTTAAACTTCTCGATGACTTTCTCCCTGACCTGTCTGCCGGGTATGTCGGTTTCCACGATGCTGTTGGTTCACCAAAGTTCTCAGTGGTCCTTCGGAGAGCTACAGAGATCAAATTAAACCCACGGAGGTAAAATGAATGATTAGGCAAGCTCTGAATGCAGCTGGTTGGGGTTTTATTCAGGGTTATTAGAGCAAAGACCGCTGAGATAAATGCACACTTCTAAGAGCTTTATAAAACGTTTTGAATACAGTTTTAGTTCCTGTCTTATTTGCAATAATGCACTACTTTTGTTTTGGTCAGTCAGATAAAATTACGAGACTTGTTGAAGTTTGCGGTTGTGACGTGAGAAAACGTAAAAATACAAGGGATGTTGCTGACTCTGGAAAATGCTCTCTGTCCAGCCGGTTGTCTTGACGACCTGCAACCAGTAGCTTTTGAGCACGGCGCCTTATGAGCGGACTATCATGCAAAACAGAGTAGCACCACTTATGGTCAACGATTTGATGGAATCATTTGTGACTGAGATGGGAAAGGATGAGAAACAAAACACCTCGGCGACGATCCTATGAAGCTGTTTAACCTCCCTGCTAAAAAAAAACAAATATGGTGACCGGATTGAGACAAATATCAGTTATTCTGGCAGGAAATTTGTCACTGAATATGTCAAAGTGAGAGCGTCTCTCTTGCAGGCAGAGCCAGAAGAAAAGACAAAAGTTTTCACATGATGACATCGGTTAAATTCAAAGCCGACTTGAGTTTTTTTTTTTTTTTTTTTTTTTTTTTAAACAACTTGTCTGTGGTTCGTCTAATTGAGAAGGAGTTGTGAGACTTTCAGAAATCCTGGCTCCGCGCCACGCACTCCACTGTACTCCACGAAGATTGAGTCATGAATTCATTTATCAGAGCTTGCAAATGCATTTGAATCTTATATGAGGGATTCTCTTTCTTCCCTCAAACGGTTGGAAGTAATGTAATCCCAGCCTCTTTTTATTATATCTGAGTAACCCTAAAAAAGAGAGAGAAAAAGCAAGCTCTGCCACTGAATTAATAAAAATGTGCGTTGTAGCCTCCAGTGAGAACTTGATGTGAAATATTTGCATTACCATATGGCTCAGCTTTGAACAGGTTCAAGTGATCCTTCTTTTTTTTTTTTTTTTCTTGTTCGACGCTACAGCGTTTGTAACGTACAGAAAGCAGATCTAGCTGCTGCATGAATCGGACAGAAAGGCCTCTTGTCTCCCAGCTTTCTTGGCTTCCTCTCAGTTGTCATCTCCCTCAGGTTGCACCCAGTCTAGACCTGAGAAAGCCTTTGACCCCTGGAGTCTTTCGGTGCCAGTTAATGTTCCTGGCGTGGCGGACATGTTTAGCACCTGCTGGGGAGCTGCTTGACCTGAATTACTCCCGCACAGAGGCAGCTGCTGTGGCTGGAGCTTAAAAATATCACACCTTTCCCTCTCATTAGGAAAGGGAACTGTTGATTATGATGATGATGACATATTGTGCTTACCTGAAGAATGGTTCCTCTCAGGGGACAGCTGTGAGAAATGGTGGCCAAATGTTGTGAACTTCGTTCAGCTTCGGTTTGTGGCTGGTGTCCCCCGACCCCGTGACCCTGCATCGAAAAGCAGGTGTAGACCATGGAAAATAAAAGGATGGGTCATATCCATCCACAAAGGGCCGTACAGAACGATTCAGGCCTCTTGAACTTTCCCACATTTTGTCATGCAATTTCATTTTATCTGTTTGAAAGGAGCAGGTAGAAGATACAAGACCTTTCCTGCCCATTTCATACTCAACATTTAAATCTCCAAACACCATAGTAACTTAAATTACTTCCACATTACATGCCACTTAAATCTCACATTCTCATCCTTAAATGTACAATTACTAAAAAATTTTTAAATATCATCAATAGCAGTTTTGGTCTTTGAAACCTGCCAGCAAGGACACGTTATGAGTTAGTGTCATTTATGAGAGACATACTGTAAATGATGTAACGTACCAGGTCAATATGTCATGTTATTCTGGAACTAGACTGTCTAGAAATATAAAGATAAAGGGCAGCAAATGACTAAATGATAATCAAATCAATGATTTAATTTAAAGAAACATTTTTCCAACAGTAAGCCAGATGTTTCCACTGTTTTGCTGCTGAAATGTTCAGTTTTTGCATAATTTTTGTATTTTCTGTAGCATATATTGTTCAGCTTTCTCAGACAAGGTCTCTGTTAGGTTAATATGCTTCTCCTACTTGACCTTCGACCTGTACATGAGTTGTCCAGGGTGTACCCATGTTTTTCAGTAATTGAATTTTGGAGATAGAGAGCAAGTCCCTGAAAGGATTAAAGCGACATACGAAGTAGCCCGTTAGCATCCAGAGCAACATGTTAGCATGCAGATATCGGTTGGTGAGCTATCGTCGTGTTCATAAAGAAATCAAGCCGAGCTGAACTGAAGCCAGTGGGGGGCATCCCTGGGCATACCACCAGCAGAGACCGTCGCGGCTCTTGTTTCTGTTTTCATCTTCGCCACCCACCTTCTGTGTTGCATCTCAGCAGAACAGCTTGGAAGATATGAATGGCGTTTCAGTCATCTGACCCCTGGAGGGCAGCGCTTCAGAGATCCACAAGCTTTTTGTCCGTATATTTAGACGAAAGCTAAAGAGCCTTCTCACCTCTTCCTGCATTATGAAGTGTTGCTATTAATAAACTCACTACGCCTCACCACTTCTCCCTCTCCATTCACTCTCTGAAACCGGGCCTAAAGCTGAGGATGAATGAACGGAGCAACAGGGGGCCACCTGGGGGCGGTTGGAGGTCATGATATTGAGATAGTGTCTGCTGCTGTGTCCATGCAAATGCTCACCCCTCCTCCACGGAGTGATAGGGAAAGAGAGAGAGAGGCATCTATTCCACAAGCCACAATCGTTGCACGGAGACCTCCATGGCTAATTAAAATAAAAAATAAAAGGTGGTTCTGCTTCGTTTTAGTGCGGTAAACTCAGCGAACCTTAATCAGGCCTCCCTTGCCATCGTTGCTTCGGGTGTTTTTGCCGATGTGTTTGCAGACGGGACGCAGCGAAGAGCAGGGAGCGTTTCCCTCGATGGGACTCTCACACGGAGAGCCAAGGACGTCGGCTGAGCACAGAGGGTCAAACAGTTACCCAGCGCCGTCCTCTCTGCTGTAATGAGCTCATAATAGAGAAGCGCCGTAGAATGATGAGCGCTGACACAGTTTTTAGTAGTTTGGTGTCCACAAAATAAAAAATACATTTAAAAAAAAATTTAGAAGATAAGAAAAAAACAAAAAAAACATTGGGCACTCAGCCTCAATCCCACTTTGCTTTATTGCTGTTTTTGGAGTTCTGCGTTTTTGGCTTTCAAGCACCAACTATTTTCATCTCGCTTATTGAATTGTTAATTTTTCTTTGTGGAATAAGTGCTGCTGCTCCAGCTTTTAGTAGCCTCTCTAATGTTGATGTATATCCCCCCAGCCCCACCTCCTCACCCCTTCTTCGTCCCTCTCTCTCTCATTGTCCTATTTGTCAGGAGCAAATTAAGCCCTGTGTCACAATCATGGCGATCTGCCACTTGGGCCGCCACTTTACACGTTTGAAAAGGAGAAAATGCAGAGATGAAATGTGTGAAGGCTAAATGTGTCAGAATAATGGGAAAAAGAGGTGGAGGTGGGGGGGTTTGAGAGGTGGAGGGGTGAGGACAGTTAGAGAGCGTCGCTCGGCTGTTCCAGTCCAACCAGCAGCTTGGTGAGACTGACTGAGTGGTCGCTAAGGTGTCTAGGTGCTTGCTTCTGGTTGCTGAAGGTGGATCAGTTATAGTTAGTCACCCTGAATGAGGCCTGACCAAAGTTCAAACGGTACGATTACTCATTTCTCTGAATTGTTGCGAGGATTTATCTAGGCCCTGTTCACATGACGATGGCAGGCCAGCGAAACGGCCAGTCGTTTACACGGTAACCACGTCTGTGTGAAAAATGATGACGTGTGCGTTATGCATGACTGGTTTTCAACAATGGCTACTGCTTTCTACTGCTGACAGAAATTCCTGTGTTCAACCGCACTAGCTTGTGTTGAACATAAAATGAACATAATCATAATCAGGTGATTAGAAATATGCCAGAATTTGAACTAATTTTGATTAAAATGAGTATATAATATCTATAGAATCAATAGTGTAAAATATTCATTAAAAATGTTA